TCAAATGCTTTTAACACAGTCGACCACGATATCCTTATAGCCTTCCTAACTAATCTTAGATTCTCAATCCCAGCTTTGGAATGGTTTTCATCCTATCTTCGCGGCCGCCAGCAATCAGTACGATTAGGGCAAGAGTTCTCAAGATGGGCTGACATTGAAACAGGCGTGCCGCAAGGCGGAATATACTTTCTCCTATAATGTTTTCTTTATTCATAAATTCTATCACTTCAGTTCTCAACTGTTCGTACCATCTGTATGCAGATGATCTTCAGCTCTATGTGCAATCTAGTGTTAACGACCTTAACGATAATATTCATAAACTCAACCACAACCTCGATGCCATAAGAGATTGGTCGTACAGACATGGTGTTTTGGTTAACCCAACAAAATGCAAAGCAATGGTTATAGGTAGTAGCAGATTGTGGGTTAAGATTAATAACGATAATCTTGCTCCCGTCTTTTACAATGGCACGTTGTTGCCATTTTGTAAGTCTGTAAAAAATCTTGGCTTACATATAGACCATACCTTAAGCTGGGGAGTTCAAGTTGCCGAAACAAGCCGTAAAGTAACTGCCACCTTACGTTCTCTTTGTCGTCTCAAAAAAGTTTCTGCCTTTTAAAACTAAACTTCTGCTAATCCAGACTTTGATATTACCCATTATTGATTATGCGGATGTGTGTTACCCAGATCTATCTCAATATCTTCTCGATAAGTTGGAGCGCCTTCTCAACAATTGCATTAGATTCATTTTCGGCTTACGTAAGTATGACCATATTTCCCAGTACCGATCTAAGCTTAAATGGCTCTCTATTCGTCAAAGGCGTAGCTCCTGAACTTTGCAAGTACTACATTCAATTTTAAATGACCCCAATTCTCCCTCTTATCTTAAAGATAACTTTCAATATTTGTATTCTACTAACGATAGAGTTCCCCGTTCCCAAAATTGTCTTAAAATTCGTATTCCACCACATAGGAGTGGTTTCTTTAATTCCTCTTTTACTATACAGTCTATACTGCTCTGGAATGCCTTGCCTGTTTATATCAAGAAAACTAATAACAAGAATTATTTTAAAAGACTAGTTCGAGAGTTCTGTCGTAAGAATAATACCACCTGACTATCCGACTATTGTTTTTTTTTTCTCTCTTTCACTTTATAAGTAATATCTTTGTATCAATGTATTTTAATATGTATTATGTTATTTTATATATTTATTATTTATCCCATATTATATATTAAGTAAGTATGTATATTTTACTAACTATATATCTATTCTATTCATTTGCAGTTTATTTTGTTTTGATTTGGTTACACCTGCCACAGTTTCTCAAATCATCCAGGGTTGACTGGCAGAGAATGCCATAAGGCATTAAGTCCGCCCTTTATATCCCTTAGTATATAAGGTGTATAATAAAGATTAAATAAATAAATAAATAAATGATGTGTCTTCAATCCAGGTAAGACACATCATTGTATTTAGTTAGCGAAAGGTTGCGGGGTAATTTATATTTTATGCACTGGAATAAAAATCAAAAATAAGACATACAGTAAACTGAAACGCTTCAAAAATTATCTTTAAACTTAATCTATTAAACTTGTATTATGTTTGATTAGTTCTTTTCTGAGCCTATTAGGTGAGTCAAAAGTAGTATCAAAGGCAAAGGAAAGTTCATTGGCTATTTCCTAGAGATCGGGGAATTTCCGCCAAACACGCGTACGTTTTGTATTACGGTAGAACAAAAGCAGCAATGATAATTGTACAATACGAAACGTAATAAATGAAAGTTTACAAAGGTAAATATCATAGTAAAGTATTCATCTAGATGTAAATACTTACCGATGTAATGTTATGCCTTTATTAGTTGAATTATACGTCCTGAAGAGTTTTTACTGCTGACTATGCTGCAGTTCACCATTATAATAACATAGATTCACGTACGACGTTCCCCGCGCAACTAAATCATAAAATGGTAAATGATGTTCGTCAACACATCATAGCGGCGACAAGGTCACGCGTTTATGCCACTTCTATTGGGCTATTCTTTTTTTTAGTTTCGGTGTTACTTGAAAAGTAATCATGAGCGTGAGCTTGTTCTTATTTTACTTAATATAAATCAGTGCTTGGCCGCAATGTAGGATCATTGTGGTTTGATTGGACACCTGATTCCTTTTGACAGTAATCCTACCGATTGCGTCATATTGTATGTCTAGGAAGATGTAAATATACTTCAGGATTAGCATACAGACTGACTTTATCTATGTAGTCGTCTTTTACCTTACGTATTTTTATTTATATACATACATACATATACATAAACACTCACGCCTGTTACCCAGAGGGGTAGGCAGAGACTACAGACTTCCATTTGGCACGATCCTGACACACCTCTCTCGCCTCCTTCACATCCATACATCTACGCATACATGCTCGTCGGTTAAGGGTACTCCTAATTTGGCCCGTTTTCAATAAATCGCCAATTTGGTCGATAAAATTTCACCTAGGACGTCCCTTTCCGCAACATAAATTTTCTTTGTCACTCTTTCCTCATTCATTCTTTCCACATGACCAAACCACCGAAGCATTCCTTTCTTAATCCTGGTCACAACATCATCTTGCAAACCACACTCTTCTCTTATTACACAATTTCTTACCCTGTCGTTCAGATTCAGCCCTAACATACTCCTTAACGATCGCATTTCTTTAGCGTTGATTCTACTCTCGTGCTTATTTTGCCACACCCAACTTTCACTACCATACGTTAAAGTAGGGACCAACACAGCATTGTGAATTGCCATACGTGCCTTTTTTGACACATTTTGACTCTTCACAATAGAGTGCAGGGCCCCATTTACTCTATTTCCCGCATTCACTCGTCGTTCTATGTCCTTATCCTATCTCCCATCCCTGCTAAATATTATATACATAATACATATACTGACAGCGGTGATGAATGAGATGATAAAGTGATAAAATAAACGTATTGTGTTATTAAAAGGATTTGTATGTATACTACTAAAACCAGCAATTCAAAACAAAAACTTTACATGTATAAGTAAACGCTGTCATTATTTATGCACGTAATTTATCAAAGTGATTTGAAGTTTATTTCAGATAAGTAATAGAACTTTATTTCGTATTTGCCAATAATAATATCTTTGGTAAATAAAAATACAACTTTATAGTATATTTACCGTGCCAGCTACGCACTCGGGAGTTACATAAAGGTGCAATGCCGTAGCCGACTGCAGGCAGCGGCAGCAGGCGTGTGTGTCGCGACATGTCGTGGCGTCACGTCGCTGCACTCATGATTCCTGATGAGTGATGATGTTCAGAGTGTTAAGTGGGACATGATGACCGACGTGCTTGAAATTAGCGATCGCGATTTTTTTTTTGTATCTTTTGTTAGAAGAGGAAGAGATGATGATAACTTTTTTTTTATACAGTAAAAAAGAAAATAAATTTGAGAATAATTTGCATTATTTTACCTCTTAATAAGAACATAACGAAATTTATGAGATATTTCTGAGATTAATTGTTAAATTTTTGGTTTCTTTTCAAGGTGTGTAGTCACTTTGATTTAATATTTTCTATAATGAATTTTTATAGTCTTTTTAATTTTTATAGTAACACTTTTGCATTAACTATTTTTTCAATTCGGATTCAATTACGTAAACTTAGTATACAAACAATGTCACTATATTAAAATATCGAATTCTAGCTATTATATGAACTGTTAAAATATATTTCAAAATTGTTTTAGGCACAAAACAAAACATAAAATTCAAAGCAATATTTGTAAAAAAAAAATTTAAATAATACTTTTATGACAAACCAAAAATGTATTCCCCAAACATTAATCTCTTATAATAAATCAATCAACTTTAACATTCAGCATCTTGAACTAGTATTATGTTACTTTGAATCAAACTGTTTAAGTCATTCTTTTTTCTTTCTGATAATTTTAATCTACACTGTTACAGTCATAGAATACTATATAAATAGTGTGCAATTTGGCATTTTCTAAATATTGATTAAAATTTTGCATGCGAAATTTGGAAACGATTGTAACGACAAAAAAACACATCTCGTGTTGACATTTATACGTGTGAATTGACATGTTAGTGGCTACACGGGCTCCGCCCACTCCCCCGTTCTATTATGTATGTAATTATAGTACTCTATGGTTACAGTTGTTTCAATTGGATAACTTTAAGTGTTCGATTTCTGCGTAAGTGGGATGAACGATTGTTATAGTACTCAATTTCTTTTAATTCTGAAAATCCAAAAACCACACTTTATCAAATAAAAATAAGTAAATAATTTACCTTAATGATAAAATCAGCCGTACTCTCACAAATAGTTACAAAATTTTTAGAAAATTGTACTCGTATGTCGACTCCATAAGAGACAGGTGACAATTGCTATATTAACGGTACAGTATTTATGTTTTAAATTTCAGTTTAGTAGCGTTTTAATTTAACGCTATCAATCAAAATATTGGGGAAGTAAATAGACCTCTCAAATTCATTCTGTACATTTCGCCGATTTAAGTAAGATGACGTCAATATCTCAATTTCGTGAAAATTTCGTTTAGTAACAGTTTCGAAATGAAGGTGCGACATGTTCTACGTTGAAATGTGAGGGAACGTACAGTACGGGATATTGGGCCAACTGGTTTATCAGTTTCTCTTTCTCAGAATCGGTGAAACTCATTTTTTAAGAAAAATTCAACGTGTTGTCGCTCGGGCGTTGGCGGCACTACTGATCTGCGGTCGGGCTACAGTTTCGTCTGCCGCCAGGCAAACGACGTGTCGCTAGCCACGGAACGTATTTCATAGAACTACATAGAAACCAGTTGTGTCGCGATGACACGTCGCTTGCTGCTGCTGTCTGCAGTCTGCTACGGAATTGTACCTTAAGATTTGTTTTGAATTGCCAGTCTAGTACCATAACTATATATAGAAGTCGTGTACTTGACGTGTACGTGTGTGTTCGCGCAGGTGGTGCGTGGGCGGGCGCGCGTGCTCGCTGGTGCGCGTGGTGCGCGACGAGGTGCTGCGCGGGCGGCCGCGCGCGCCTACCGCTCACGCGCAGCGCGTGCTTAAGCTGTTGCGCGCCGCCGCGCTGCACCCTCATCCCACGCCCAACCGTACGTACGCATCTCAAATTATGGGCTCGATGTGGCGCGATGAGGTGCTGCGCGGGTGGCCGTACGCGCGTGCCGCGCACGCGCAACGCGTGCTCAGGCTGCTGCGTGCATACGTACGCATCTCAAATTACGTGCTCGCTGGTGCGCGTGGTGTGCGACAAGGTGCTGCGTGGGCAGCCGCGCTGCACCCCCACCCCATCCCACGCCGAACCGTACGTACGCATCTCACATTACGTGCTCGCTGGTACGCGTGGTGCGCGAAAAGTTGCTGCGCGGGCAGCCGCGCTGCACCCCCACCCCAACCGACGCCCAACCGTACGTACGCATCTCACATTACGTGCTCGCTGGTACGCGTGGTGCGCGACAAGGTGCTGCGCGGGCAGCCGCGCTGCACCTCCACCCCATCCCACGCCCAACCGTACGTACGCATCTCACATTACTTTCTCGCTGGTACGCGTGGTGCGCGACGAGGTGTTGCGCGGGCGGCCGCTGCACCCCCACCCTATCCCACGCCCAGCCGTACGTACGCATCTCACATTACGTCCTCGCTAGTACGCGTGGTGTGCGACGAGGTGATGCGCGGGCAGCCGCGCTGCACCCCCACCCCATCCCACGCCCAACCGTACGTACGCATCTCACATTACATGCTCGCTGGTACGCGTGGTGTGCGACGAGGTGATGCGCGGGCGACCGCGCGCGACCGTCACGCACGCGCAGTGCGTGCTCAAGCTGCTGCGCCGCTGCGCTGCACCCACACTCCACGCCCAATCGTACGTACGCATCTCACATTACGTGCTCGCTGACGCGTGGTGCGCGACAAGGTGCTGCGCGGGCAGCCGCGCTGCACCTCCACCCCATCCCACGCCCAACCGTACGTACGCATCTCACATTACTTGCTCACTGGTACGCGTGGTGCGCGACAAGGTGTTGCGCGGGCGGCCGTGCTGCACCCCCACCCTATCCCACGCCCAGCCGTACGTACGCATCTCACATTACGTCCTCGCTGGTACGCGTGGTGTGCGACGAGGTGATGCGCGGGCAGCCGCGCTACGCCCCCCACCCCATCCCACGCCCAACCGTACGTACGCATCTCACATTACATGCTCGCTGGTACGCGTGGTGTGCGACGAGGTGATGCGCGGGCGACCGCGCGCGACCGTCACGCACGCACAGTGCGTGCTCAAGCTGCTGCGCCGCTGCGCTGCACCCACACTCCACGCCCAATCGTACGTACGCATCTCACATTACGTGCTCGCTGACGCGTGATGCGCGACAAGGTGCTGCGCGGGCAGCCGCGGTGCACCCCCACACCAACCGACGCCCAACCCTACGTACGCATCTCACATTACGTGCTCGCTGGTACGCGTGGTGTGCGACGAGGTGATGCGCGGGCGACCGCGCGCGACCGTCACGCACGCACAGTGCGTGCTCCAGCTGCTGCGCCGCTGCGCTGCACCCACACTCCACGCCCAATCGTACGTATGCATCCCACATTACGTGCTCGCTGGTACGCGTGGTGCGCGACAAGGTGCTCCGCGTGCAGCCGCGCTGCACCCCCACCCCATCCCACGCCCAACCGTACGTACGCATCTCACATTACGTGCTCCCTGGTACGCGTGGTGCGTGACAAGGTGCTGCGCGGACAGCCGCGCTGCACCCCCCACCCCATCCCACGCCCAACCGTACGTACGTATCTCACATTACGTGCTCCCTGGTATGCGTGGTGCGCGACAAGGTGCTGCGGGGGCGGCCGCGCTGCACCCCCACCCCATCCCACGCCCAACCGTACGTACGCATCTCACATTACGTGCTCCCTGGTACGCGTGGTGCGCGACAAGGTGCTGCGCGGGCGAGCCGCGCTGCACCCCCACCCCATCCCACGCCCAACCGTACGTACGCATCTCACATTACGTGCTCGCTGGTACGCGTGGTGCGCGACAAGGTGCTGCGCGGGCGGCCGCGCTGCACCCCCCCCCCATCCCACGCCCAACCGTACGTACGCATCTCACATTACGTGCTACAGCCACGCTGCAACTGTATTATACTTGTAACATTAATACATCGGCTCCACTCAGGTCGAACCACGCTGTCACCGAATACCCGCGTAAAATAGCAGCCTTAGGCGCAAATTATACAAAAACGGCATGAGGTGTAAAGTGAAATGGATAAAAGCGGCATGCATGTGCCGCGCCGCTTGATTACAATTCACAACACGCTGCTTTCATACATTTTATATGACGAAAGCACCATGCCTCCGCCGCGTCTGTACCGTGCCTTCACCTTATGTCACCAATTCTGTATAATTTGCGCCTAATGCTGCCTTGTTTCGTATGATAGGGGTAAAGAACCGGAGACCCTTTTAACTAGATACGAAAAATTCCATCTTAATCTTCAGAGATGAAACGCATCGCAATTATTTAGACTCTTAATTGAAGACAGATATGTGTAGATGTCTAATAATAACAATGTCCTCCAGACCGAATTTCGGTCACGGCGACCAGCCTCAAACGAATAGGCGCAGGACAATGTAATAGTGCCAAAGTGTATGCGCAAGCACAGGTACACTCTCTAGTAAATGTCTATGGGCCACAGCATCCACTTACCATCAGTTGGACTGTGTGCTCGTTTGTTACTCTTATTCTATAAAAAAATGAACAACACTGGCTTGTTAATCTATCGTATTAGCAATGCTTCATTCCGGACACATTCCATGTAACAAGTTTTACATAACATAACATAAACACTCACGCCTGTCACCCAGAGGGGTAGGCAGAGACTACAGACTTCCATTTGGCACGATACTGACACACCTCTCTCGCCTCCTTCACATCCATACACCTACGCATACATGCTCGTCGGTTAAGGGTACTCCTAATTTGGCCCGTTTTCAATAAATCGCCAATTTGGTCGATAAATTTTCGCCTCGTACGTCCCTTTCCGATTCTGCCATTCACTTCTGCAACATAAATTTTCTTTGTCACTCTTTCCTCATTCATTCTTTCCACATGACCAAACCACCTAAGCATTCCTTTCTTAATCCTGGTCACAACATCATCTTGCAAACCACACTCTTCTCTTATTACACAATTTCTTACCCTGTCGTTCAAATTCAGCCCTAACATACTCCTTAACGACCGCATTTCTACTGCGTTGATTCTAATCTCGTGCTTCTTCTGTAACAAGTTTTATACACATAAAAATTACGATCTCCAAATTGCAAAACATACAAAACAATAGAAAATATATAACACTTGTTTATCGAGTACTGTTAAAACGAAAAATAAACAAAGAAAAATTGTGTGTAACAAAATAATTACTTTGTCCTTTACTAAGCAAAGGAGGTTTAAAGAGGTTTCCTAGATACGGAGGTGAAACACTGTCAACTTCCTGACTCCAGGCTGCTACTGAAATTTCTTTTTAGGTCCGACCCTAGATTCAAACCAAACTCATGACTAACAGCCGCGTTAACGACAACAACAACAACGACGTCGATGAGCTTTAATAAAATACTGAAGTGGCAAATTAACTTACAGTCCACCTGATGTAAATGACTGTACAGCGCGCTTTTTTGTGTCATGATGAATGAACACAAACAAAGCACGCTACAGGTGCTTTGTTACCTCTGAAAACTAAGTTGGAATGCCTTACAGCCTACGGGCTTTCTGTACCCTTCAGACCGGAAGAACAGTGTAAGCATTATTGCTTAGCGGTAGTCAGCAATAATATTTAAAATTATGTTATATATCCAGATAGATTCCTAAGAAAAAAGATCTACCACCTAGTGCAACAGCAACCGAGTCTTGTATCTAGACTAAACTAACAAATAGATATTTCCTAGAACAACTGACTGACTAATACTTCTTAAAGGAGCTACCTGCACTCATCAGGCGGGGCAGGTAAATTAGTTGGCGCAAAGCCGATATAATTGTTGCATTAGTGGTCCTCCCCTTCACCACTCTACGCAATTTGTAGTAGGTATTACACGAAGAAAGTCATATACGCCTCTAAAGCAAGGTTTAGACGAAGCCAGCGCCAGTCCTCAAACAAACCAGCGCTGGCCTGGCCCGTGTTGTTTAGATGCGGCCAAATGCGATTCATTTCATTCCTAAATTATTCTTGTACATCGTTGTATTAAATTAATGTTTTTTATACCAACTAAAAAATCATGTTTATCCTATATCTACATACATCAAAAATATGAATTTGTACAATATCACTAGTAAAATTTTTATATTACAAGTTATTTACTCTGGCGCGGGGAGCTGGCTGGATGCTGGCTGCCCATAAGATGCACGCGGGCGGAGGTCACTGGCTTGAAAAATAGGCAGGCGCTCTATTCCCGCCAGTGCTGGCAGCCAGCGCTGGCTTGTCTTGAAGAACTGTTTATACGAGGCCAATAACAAGCCAGCGCTGCTGTCCAGTAAAACTGGCAGCCAGCACTGGCTTGGTCTAAACCTTGCTTCACTTCAATCAGCATAGTAAACCGCGAATTGGTGAAGTCGACATTTGAAAAAGCTTGCATAATTCGTCTTTTTATTAACTTAACATTATAATAGAAATTATTTCTTTTTACACACAGAAAATGAACAAGAGCTGCGAGAGAGGGAGGAGTTTGCTCGGACGTGTTTCGAAACTCTGCTTCAGTTCTCCATGTTGGAGGATATCGACTCTTTAACTGGAGGAGACAGTAAGTCACATCCTTGGATGGATCTAATCTAAATTATATATGACTTTCCCCGTAGAGAAATTATACTATGTTAAATGCCGTGGCCGTGGAAGGAAAAGAGGAGATCTCCCGCCGGGCAAAGTGTTCTGCCCGGGGAGAGGCCAGCGCTCCGTATGATAGTTCGGAGCTATTCTATATATACTGTTTTTATTTCGGAACTTTGATAGCGCGATTTAGGCCTCGATGTGTTTCGCTAGTGGCACGACGACAGCGCCGCCACAAATTGTTTAAAGTGAATTCTTCATCCTACTTTAAGATATAAAAGGATTATGAATGTTATGAGGTTTAAAAAGTTTTGGGATATTTTTGATTAAAATTTGATGTTCCTCTCTTTATTTTTTGCTATTTATAGCTAAATTTAATCTATAGTGTATACCAGCGTCAAATAACAGTATAACGCTGCTGTGTTTCGTATGGTGAGTGTAGAGAATCGGAGACCCTTTTTACTGGAACTACGCATCTGCATTTGATGCTTAATTGAGGTTTAAAGAGGATGTCTATGGGCCACAGCATCCACTTACCATCAGGTGGACTGCGTGCTCGCTTGTCACCCAATGATATAAAAAAAGAGTGGCCTATGATCAGCAGGGGACTTTCATAGGCTGTAATGAATAAATAAAGGAGTACTTTATACATAAATACCAATAATTTTCTATACATTATCAAAACTGAGATTACTTACCTACAGTAGTATAGTAATTCACCGCTTGTAAACATCGTGTGTATTTTCGTAGTTAGCCGGTTCTATGCATATGAACACGACACATTTTTACTACCTGTTAATGGACGCATTGAGTGCATGTAAATTTTCGCCTAGCGTTGCCATGCGTCCGCATAAAGCCGGACACAGTCAGGCTTTTTAAATTTGACCATTTTTTTTAAATTTTTTCATGTACATACATAATATTGCAACTATTAAAATTAATATTGTAATGAATATTGAATTATTAATAATAAAGAAAACTGATTTATTCAATTATATTGTTAGTTCATTAGAATTTAAGATTTTATGATAAATATTAAAAAGCATAGTTTTGAAAAAATTGTCATGTTGTACCAAGACTAAAAAATTAAGAGTGTCCGGCATTTTTATCAATATGTCCGGCAAAGCTCGTTGGTCTATCCGGCTTTTCGGTTTTAAGACTTGGCAACCCTATCGCCACGATTTTAGGTCATATTCTACTTACCAGAATTACAACTATTACTATACGTAGACACTGTCTGTACGTAGGCTAAGCACCGAGTGCAGTCGATGAAGCGTGGTGTACAGATAAACATTGATGAATTTTTGCAACACCTTGTTTTGTTAATTTTACATTGTATTTGATTAATTTTAAGAAATAAGTAATAATAATAATAAAATAAACTTATTGCTATAAACTTATGAGACTCGGATTATATTTATCGTTCTTTTGACTTATCAGGTACTAGTTTTTCCTGGATGTGAAGGTGTTAAATGCTTAAAAATAGGCCCGTAGAGAGACACACTATAGTCACTAAAACAGGGATGGCGAACCAATGGCACGCAACAAATATTTTCTGCACGCCACCGATCACAAAGTTCACTATGAAGTATTAATTAAGAACGAACGCGAGTAGTCCTAGTTACATTGTGGACTATCATTGCTAATGACGCATAGTCCGTTTCATCATCATCATCATTACAGCGCTTCACAAGTCTACGCCTCCCCCAAGGAATGCATAGTTCGTTTACGCATAGCATAATAGTCAATTTCGTTGACACAAATGTATTTAAAAGTTCATTTGTGTTATATAGGGTGACTCATTCCACACTTGGTTGCATCACGCAAATACCGAATATTGTAATGACTACAAAACTTACGTCGTGCTCGTGTGTACGAATGTACATTGCTAAAATAAGCCTCCACTGCATACGCACGGTGCGCTCCCGACCACAACATGGCATCGACTAAAAATTTCCAGACCGTTAGCTTTCGAAGGCTGTACGTCACCTCCCAGTTGCCAGCGAATTTATTAACGATCTAAATTTTAAAAGTTATACTTACTAATATATGTTATTTGTCATCTAATCTGGAACAACAGAAGTCACACTAATGTTACTTATTTGAATTAAGCGTATAACTGAAACATTTATTATATTTAGTATAATAATAAATGTCTAAACTCAGAACTTTATTTATATTTTGTAGTAAATAAAGAGCTTTGAATCGATAGTATTTAGTAGGTACTATTATTTTGCCCATAGCCACGAAGTCAAAATTGTTTTACGGAACATCTATTACCTAATTAAACATTTCTTTAAAAAAATATCACGTTGATACATAAAGGTCCCCCACCACTGCACTAGATGCTTATCAAATTGGAAGTATAGTCATTCATTGCTAGATATACGCCTCCCCATAAATTGCCTCATACAGAATTTCTCTATAGACACCACACTTGGCAAACGAGTTGTAAACGCAGTTTTTTAATATAATTTTGAGTTTTCATTAGAAAGATTCTACTGCCCATGTCCTGGTTCAGTTTCTCTCTTTCACCACTTACACGGTATTTGGTAGTAAACATTCATTCACCGCGTTTAGTGAGATATAAATAAGTGGTGTTATTTTAACATGCTGTATATTATATTTCAGATGATTCAGACCCCTTAGCAATAATGCCATTGCTGGACAGGTTCCAAGAAGTGATATCCAGGTATACAAGCGACGATGATAACACCGAGCCTTTGCCCAGGTATGGTTATCATAATATTATCTTCATTCTTGAACTAAGCTGAAAATAAAAGCACTAAGAACTAATATTTCTTCTAATGTTTCTATTGCGTCTTGATATGAAAATATTAGTATAACGCTCAATAATTTTATAAGCAACTAAGTTATATCTGTATTATAAAGTATGATGTTCGACAACTCCCATCATAAATTATTTGCTTAAGGGCCTATACTACCTCAAATGGCTTAGCAAGATCCTCCATTATACCGAAAATGTTGCAGCATTCATTTTGAAACAAATATATGTTAAAGCTGAGGATTAATGTTAAGTACTATGTTAGACGAAAACACGATTCCGTAAAATTTTCTCGATAGAAAAAAATTCAAAGTTACCTCCCAACCGAACAATATAGCGGTTTATTCACAAAATACTTTAAATTAGATCACGAAACGTTGCATAACAACATAACTAACTATACAGCAGGGCTTACGTTTTTTTTTAATTACTATTATTTTTACTGTAAATAGAAATTACCTAAACTATCGGCGTACTGAACCAGCTTGCAATTGCAATTGTTCCCAGCTGCCCGATCTGTCTCGCTTCGGTTTTCGAACGGGAAAGCTGAGTCGCGATCAGAATACACATTACGAAACAGGACGACGTAAAATTAAAATAGGAAATAACCGTAATAAAAATAAGTAGCGACTGTGTTGGTGTAAAGAAACAGGCATAAATATGATAAACCTAATGAAATAAGTGTCTAAAGATCTACCTACCTAAGTATCTACTTACAGTATTAGTGATTACAAACATATCGGTACATAGCATGCGACGCGCGGGGAAGTAAGGGCGATATTAGAATTTAAGCTGAGGTAGTTACAGGCCCTTAAAGGAATAATATACTGAGATAGAATGCCGGGAGAGAAACACAAAAGGCTCCACTCTTTAATGATCTTTATTAATGTATTGTACACAACAAAGAGTAAATAAATATATACTAATAAATAAAATTAAAGTGTCTGTTTACAATTTTAAAATAACAGATTTTTACTAAATGATATGAAAGTATATACGGTACTTACGAGTATTTATTATTTTTATTAATAGCATAAAAAAAAATTATATTTGCCTGTCTGTCAGCCTGTTTGTTCTGGCTAATCTCCGAAATGGCTGGACCGTTGTTGACATGATGATTTACTGGCGGATAGATGATGATGTTATAAGGAGTAACATAGACTACTTTTATTTTAGAAGACGAATTAGGGTAATAAATTCCACGCGAATGAAGTCGCGAAGAACAGCTAGTATATTATATAACATCAACTTGAAACCCAAAACATACAGAATTAATAGAAATTTTCTAATTTTAATTTCGTCATTCCTGAACTACTATATCTTGATTTCTTTTAATGCTGATCTTTTTTCCAAACAGGCATCAACTCTCAGAAATATCATTTGTACTAAAAGCAATAGCGAGCCTCACGGAGGCCATGAAGAAGGCTCCACCGGGAAAAGTAGATGCTACCGCGTGGGATAAGCTTATAGGTATGTTCATCCTGTTCAATGTTTCATCATCTACTGGTTCGTACGACTCCTCATTGATAGTTTAATTGGCTTATAGTTATGTGGTTCAAAGATAGTTTATGACGATAGTATGTAAGTATGAATGGCTTAATTAGCACGCGTTTTGTCACTTTAACAGTTTACTACGTGGGTGACACTGAAAGTTCTGAGAAAATCAAAAACTGAACAAACTAGCAAGTTATTAATTTTATCATATCGTTTCAAAATAGTGACCATTTACCTCAATACATCGCTGCATCCGATGGAACCACTGAGAAAAGCACTATGACCACTCGTCCTTAGGCGTCTCTTCAAAGGCATTTTGAAACGCAGCCACTGCTTCCTCGGCATACCTAAAACGTTTTCCTCGAAGTTTTTCTTTTATTTTCGGAAATAAATAAAAATCGCAAGGTACGAGGTTGGGGCTATACGGGATGACCCAGTAATTCCACGTCTGACTTCGCCAAGTAGTCAATTGTTTGCTTGGCGGTGTGCGACGAGGCGTTGTCGTGGTGAAGGAGGACCCTACTGCGAGCTCGTTTCTCCCGAACTTTTTCCAAGACAAGTGGCAAACAATTGTTATTGTACCACTCTGCAGTAACAGTAACTGTTTTTCGAATCTCTAAAACAATTGTTGCATAATGACCTGTCCTTCCGAAGAACGAGGCCACCATCTTTATTCCCACGCTTCGACCTGTCTTCACTTTAGTTGGTAACTCCTCGGAAGGAAACACCCAGACAGCAAACTGTCCCTTATTTTCAGGATCATAACAATAAATTCAGCTTTCGTCACCTGTAAGTATGTCGAACACAGCATTTGAGTCATCTCCGTTACATCTTTGAACCATTTCATGACACCAATCAACACGACGGAGTTTTTGTGTATCTGTCAAATTATGAGGTATCCACCGCGCACAAAGCTTCCTGTCCGCTAAATGATCATAGAGGGTTTTGTGCACTTGACTCATACCGATGCCTAAGCTTGTCCGAATCTGCTGATAAGTCACTCTTTTGTCAGTCTCTATCATACGCCGCACAACACTGATGTTATCTTCAGTCGTCGCCGTGGAAGGTCGTCCCTCAAGCAGATCATCGGTGAGATTATTACGACCACGTTTAAACTTATTATACCAGTTGTAAACAGTGGCAAGAGATGGGGCTTCATCGTGTAAGGCCAATCGAAGTTATCATAACTCTCTTCTTGACTTAAATGACATCGAAAGTCATAAAAATCATTGTACGAAAATTTTCTCGCTTTGAATTAATGCTTACGTGACACAGACAATTTTCATTTTGCCGCCAAATCGTAAACAAATAACAAATTAATAAAATACATACATAGTAATATTGGCAAACAGTTCCATTTTCAAAATTTGAACTAGGCCAGGCCAGTTCTAAAAACTTTCAGTGTCGCTCCTGTTATAAAATATATACCTATGCATATACATAACAACATAACATCCTTCGTACACACACTGAGTTTAATTAAAAAATTTGCACTATTAAGTAATTCGCGGCGAGCGCGGCGGTTCCAACCGCGTCGTTTACCGTATACTTCTTTTTGGCCTAGGAGTCCGTCTCACCATTCTCTTATCTATCTCTGCCGCCAAACAGTAGATGCATTGTTGTGTTTAGGTCTGAAACGTATAGAGAGCCAGTATCATAACGGACTCTGAGGCAAAAACATAATTTCATTATATGAATACTGGCTAATGAAATTTAAAATATTATTTTTGAATAATTACTTTATTGATTCACGGGAGCACAAATTATAAATCACGTGAACTGCTCTTTTTTTGCAAAATCAAAATAGTATTGACGTCACCTCTATGTGCCCACAATATCGTCGTAATATAAGATAATATAATGTGAGCGTAACTGATATAAACCAACCTAACAACCTAGCTTCTAAGTTGGCGAATTTTACTAACAGTATAAGCAGATAATTAAGTTTACTAGCCAAGAGTCACATCGTTTGTAATTTATGTGGACACCATTGTCTTATCTAATTATATCCCTAAAAATACCATTTCTATCATAAAATCCAGTTTATCATTTTGCAAAGTAACTAAAGTAATTGGTAATACGTTTCACTTTTGACAATACTGTAACTGTCAAATTATTTGCGTGGAACCAATCTAAACTATAATTTTGGATTACCTGTAATATAAGTGAAGTATTAACTGCCTACAGTATAATGTTGGCTAGATTTTAAAAGAAGAATGGCAGATCATTATTATACAAAAAACAAAAATGGTGCAAGAATTGACCCCAGATAATCTTGAACGTATCCAACAAACAAATAGCTTGTTCACTTATGTCGTTAATTTATAAAGTAATGTTGTAAGGTTGCATTAAGCATGCTCTAGTATCAGTTACTATGCGGCGCCAAACTGATTTTTCGTGAAGTATTTACCTTAAAAAGGATATCATCTGATTTAGAACCAACTTATTATACAAAAGCTGCTGAATTTCATATGATGAGTGTAGATAACTGTTGACCATTTTTACTGGAAAAGAGGCATTCCATCTTAGTTGTAAGGGGTGACATCGCATCTGCATTTTGATTCTAGATCGAGCGTAGACGTATAACTCGTACGAATTAACTCGAGACCTGGGCCGATGACGTAATTGTCAATGTACGGTGTACAAAATAATGCGTCGTAATATTTTTTTATTTGAAATTTTTGAGATTTGCATGAGATTATTAATAAAAACAAAATAAAATGTTCTGGCAAGGGGTGAAGTAATAAGTGATATACTGTTGCCATTTTTATATATTTCAAATATTTATTTTTTATAATATATGTAATATTATTTTTAGTTAACGCGTCAAGGAAGGACGAAGAAATAAACATACACACTTTCTCATTTATAATATTATTAATTTATTTATTATACACTTTATTGCACTATAAAAAGTGTTACAGATTCGTACACAATATTGTCTTTCCTCCAATCTTTTTTTAAAAAATAAAAAAGGCGGAGTAACTCCTAAACGTCACAAGAAAACGGCACAACACAACGTAAACTTAACAATAAGAATTAAAAGTTCTGCAAGTATAACAAAAACAAACAAAAGTCCAAACCAAACAACAAACAATTATCAGAAATATCGAACTAGAGTCGAGACGCGTATCCGTAACAAAAATGCTATCGGTACTGAGCGCGCACGGCCAGCGCGGGACGCGGTGCGGGGAGTCGGGAAGGGGGTCGCATTCCAGCGGAGTCTCAAGTTAATTCGTACGTGTTGTAGATGTCTATGGGCCGCAGCTCCACTGTACACCATCAGCACTGAGTGCTTGTTTGTCTCTCTTAATCTATAAAAAAGTGCCGGTGATATAGGTCAGGAAAATTCACTTGAAAATATATCTCAAGAAAATGATGCCGTGGATCTAAATGATGTCTCCACAAATTCTATTCCGAACAGCCAGCCTGATCTCGGTTTCTCAGTACTCGATGAAATAGATTCATTTTCTTTTCCAAATAGTCCATCGAAAAAAAGGCCAAATAAGTATATCGAAGAAAGTGACACTGCTAGCCAATCAAACACAGGAACTGACTTTTCATCAGGTGATAGCGTTAAAGACCCCAACTATTCAGTTAATTCAGATGATTATACAGAATGGGTCCCACATATATGCAATAAATGAAACCATATACTTGTTATCGCCTTTGCTGACGATATACAAAAAATGAACGTAATCGGTCCAGTAATTAGGTCAAAAAGTAGAGTTTTAATTTTAAGCAAATTTGAACACTCTATAGAATTGGGTCACTAAGTCAATGATTTAATGAACTTGAATCCTTGAACATTAAAAAGCGACGTTGCCACGCAGTGCAAACTATTGGTATTGCGACATATCGACAGCGGTGTCTTTTGTCGGCGTGCCACCCGCGTGCAACGTTGTCACTCTTCCAAGGTGTCTACGTTGTCTAAACAGAGTGTTCACTTTTACTGAATTTATTTTAATATTTATTTTGTTTGAAAATTTCACTTTTTTATTTTACGGGTTTTAATTTAATATTTAATTTTTCTACACTTCTACGGACTAGTATTACTTGTGATTTCATTTATTGCATATATGTGGGACCCATTCTGTATAAACTCTGATTTTGAAGAGTATTTCTTTTCTTATAACGATTGTTTATCATCGAAACCTGGACCTAGCGACCCAGTTGAATCCAACAGCAGACAACATCAACAACAACCTACTTGTGATTCTCAGTCTGCAATAGTAATTGACTCACCGAATGATGATATAACTTATACTGATCCTCGTATATCTAATAGCGTAGAAACTCCACCATCAAGCGTTTATATCGAAAATCCTAGCGTTGAAGATATTGATGAGGCAGTATTAAAAAAATCGCGGAAAAGAAAAAGGCACCCAGAATTATGGAAAAAAATATTTCTAAATCTCTAAAAAACAGTGGTAAATCTTATACCTCTCAATCGAAATCCAAAAAAGTTATTAGTGAGAAAAAAATCGGACAGCCATGCAATCTTAAATGTAAATTGAAATGTAGCGAAATATTCAGTACCGATAACCGTGAAAAAGTTTTTCGTGAGTTTTGGGCCTTGAGAAATTTAGAACATCAGCGGCAGTTTGTTCGAAATAATATGTCTGAAATTGTACCTAAGTATCGATATACGCGTGTTGAATCTACTCGGAATAACTTAAACAATGCATACTATTTGCCTCTAAATAATCAGCGTACTCGTATCTGTAAACTTTTTTTCATGCACACTCTTGCGATTTCAGATACATTCATAGGAACGGTTTTGAAAAAATCTTGTAAATTCACACAAGCCTCTTTCATTGAAAATAGAGGAAAACATAATAGCCACTTCAAATTGGATGCTAGCATTATAGCTAGTGTCAAGGCTCATATCAAGTCGATCCCTAGAATTGAGAGCCATTATTGCCGTGCGCAAACAAAGCGGGAATTTATTGAAGGTGGCTACACAATTGCTGCTTTACACCGAGACTATGTTGAGGCATGTAATCTTGAGGGTAAAGATTATGTCTCGTATCAAAATTATTATAACATTTTCGTTAAAGACTTTAACATCTCATTTTGGGTACCAAAAAAGGATTAGTGCGAAGATTGTGTGACTTTTGCTAATGCTGAAAATAAAACTCCTTTACGGGAAAAGTACGAACTGCACTTAAAAGAAAAATCTCTTTCGCGAACTGAAAAAGAAGAAGACAAAAAGAAAGTTTCTGACAATTTTATAGTTGCTGTTTATGATTTACAGGCGGTAATGCCATGCCCCCAAGGTGAAATATCTAGCTTCTATTACATCTCGAAATTGAATGTTCTAAACTTTACCATAACAGAACTTGCCACAAAAAATACTTCTTGTTTTGTGTGGCATGAAGGACAAGGAGCCCGGGGTGTTAATGAAATAGGTTCATGCGTGTTTATGTATTTAAAAACCTTAAATGATAAAAACCAAAGAAGATTTTGATGTCGTCTTTTACAGCGACAATTGTTGCGGCCAGCAAATAAATAAGTTTATGCTGGCCATGTATCAGTATGCAATTAACGAGTTGCCAAAACTTAAAAGTGTGACCCACAAATTTCTTATTAAGGGTCACACGCAAAATGAAGGTGATTCTGTACACTCAAAATATATGGCATCGCCTATCTATGTACCAGACCAGTATATAACACTCATTAAGACGTCAAAAAAGAATGGCACTCCGTACAATGTAAAGGAACTCACGTATGAAGATTTTTACGATTTAAAATCGTTAGCTACGGGAAACTACACGACAAGTGAAGACGGAGAGGAAGTGAAATGCAGATATTAAATTATGAAAATCACCAAGGACAACAGAGATACATTTTTATTCAAAACGTCCTATGAAGATAAAAACTTTAAAAGGGTACACACATTGAAAAAGAAAACTAAGACTGCAACTGTGCCAACTTTAAAGAAATTATATACTCAAAAAACTGAAAGTTTCGGAGACAAAAAAGCAGGGTATCATCAAATTAATAGAAAAAAACGTTATACCTAAATATTACGAAAGCTTTTATGCAAATTTTTAAAATTTCAGTGCATATTAATTTAATTATTTTTATTGAAGCTATTTTTTTTTAGGATTGTTATGTTATTTATAAGTTTTCATAGTAGTTTTTAGTTAAATAGAAAAAATAACAAATTATCAAGACTGATTTTTATAACATTTCATTTAACTGATATTGTTTTTATAAATATTATATTAATATTAATAACTATTGTGATCTTCATGGTTGTGAATAACATAGTACTTATTCATAAATAGCAAGTTATGACTATGATAAGTAGAATTATTATAAAGATTGAAATAATACTAGTTTTTACGGAATTTATCGCGTGTATTTAACTTTTTAATTACCCGACGTTTCGAACGCTTTACAGCACTCATGGTCACGGGCAGGACTGAGATGTTCAACGTCCATATGTCATAGTTAACCGCGGTTACCATAGATTAAAATTTAACTTTTGTTCCGATCTATTCAGTATGAACTTATGGTATCTTGAAGTCTTGCAGTTGTATGCTTGGTCTGGGATTTAATTTTATTTATTATAGGATCCCAAGCAGATGGTAGCACCCAGTCATCTTCTCTATTGAAATTAGGATGTTTTTTGATTTCAATAGCCTCGCGAATCATCCTTGGAAGGAATCGGTGTTCTTTAGCGAGGATTTGCGGTCTTTCAAATCTGATGTAGTGACGGGGGCGATCCTGTACGTGTTCACAGACTGCAGACTTCCCGGAGCGTCGATTCTTCACATCAGCTATATGTTCTTTAACGCGGGTTTTTATTGATCTTTTAGTTTGTCCTATGTAGGAGAGACCACATTCACAATCAAGCTTGTACACTCCTGCATAATTCCTGCAAAATTAAATCCCAACCCAAGCATACAACTGCAAGACTTCAAGATACCATAAGTTCATACTGCATAGATCGGAACAAAAGTTAAATTTTAATCTATGGTAACCGCGGTTAACTATGACATATGGACGTTGAACATCTCAGTCCTGCCCGTGACCATGAGTGCTGTAAAGCGTTCGAAACGGCGGGTAATTAAAAAGTTAAATACACGCGATAAATTCCGTAAAAACTAGTATTATTTCAATGTGTAGTGTTCGCGTAAATATAAGAAATCATTATATTATAAAGATATCTAGTTACTGAATGAATTCACAATGTTTGAAGCTTTTAGATTTACCTTTTTAGCTTTTGAATGAGAATTTATACTTTTGAAATATTAAACAGAAACATTTAACATTATGACAATGTTAGTTCATCTAAATACGGATAAGTACAAAAAAACCTCGGCGAATCTTCTTAAACACGTATCTTTACCGTGTAGTGGCGGTGTAAAAACATCCAACTACCATCAAATTATCCCGTGAGTGTCGGAAGAAGCGACGAAGGGCAAAAATGAGGAGAAGCTGTTGCCAAACCTCTTTCCAAGCATAGCAAGTATGTCAAATTTCCTCCTATGATCTGAAGCCTATATTCAGCAGTGGACTTTAAGTTACATCAAAGGTTGTGTCTTTCCAGGCGTGTACCCGGACCTGGTGCGGCTGGCGGCGAGCGCCCGCGCGGCCGGCGCGAGTGCTGCGCTGCGCGAGGCGCTGCTGCAGTTCGCGGCGCTGCTCTCCGCGCCCGCGCCGCCGCTCTAGCGCCGAGTGCTTTACACCATACGCATATAGAGCACGCGCCTCTAGCGGCCCGTACGTACCCTGCCGCCACGCTATTATGCACACCGCAGCCCTGCGCTTCACTATACTAAACCAGCTGCCACACTATACTACGGAACAGTATACTGTACTGCACTATACTGCGATACTCCACACCATGTTGTAGTACCCTACACTACTAGACTGCCTCGTTGGTCTAGTGGTTGTAGTAGTGCGACTGCTGATCATGAAGTCCTGGGTTCGAATACTGGGTCGGGCCAACAAATTAATTATTGAGTTTTTCCATCAAGAAATTGTCAGTAGCTGCCCGGAGTCAGGAAGTTGGCGGTGTCTCACCCCCGTGCCTCGGAAAGCACGTAAAGACATTGGTCCTGCGCCTGATCTCTCTCCGGTCGTGTCGGTTTAGTGTCCCATCGGATTATGAGAGTGAGGGAATAGAGTGCACATGTGCTTGCGCATACACTTGGGCACTATAATCCTGTCCTGCGCCGATGGCTAGTCTCCGTTGAGGCAGGCCGCCGTGGCCGTAATTCGGTCTGGAAGACATTATTATTGTTACCCTACGTTGCTGCATTTCATAGCGCTGCTCTGTGTTTTGATTTTTTTGTAAAATTACACGAAAAGAGAAGAACTGTTTCTTTACAAAAATGCAGTCCTACAATATTTTTGTCAAAGCTACTGTTTATATTTAAAATAACATCAACTTGTACCTATTTTAACTTTATTACAATGTTTTCAAATGTTTTGCTTGCAGCATTTTAGCAGTCATCGATGACGCTGTAACGGCCGCCCAGTTCGTCTCCATAGACTACTAAATGCCACCAAATAAATACATAAGTAGATTTCAATGCATTTGTACGATTTGAAAATGCTTTGTACTTTCTCTAAGTTTTTATATATTATAAATAACTTTAGTTACTTGGCACTTTTCCTTTTGTACCATGCCAAGTTGAAGTTGATACTTGAGATTTAATGTAATTAATTTTTAATGCACAGAGTAATTTTCATGTCGCTGCTGAACCTTACTCTAAGTGTTGTATCACATATTTTAAAATAAAAAATACGCAATATATTATAATACTAGGGAATTATTTGACTGTTCAAATTGTATAGTTTGCAAAATTGTACAACACGAATAAATTTCAAACGTCTGTTTGTTTTAAAGTCTTGTTGTATAATATTACTGTGGCAGTGTTTGACAGATTTACAATGTAGCCACTGTATAAATTTATTCCTGATTTAGTACATAATAAAATGTATTTAATTTGTATATATTGAAAGCAACTGTTCCAACATTGTATGAAAAATATTGTTAAAAAATATATTATAAAAAGTATAATAATTTAAAATCATATTATTTTTAATAATCATTTAGTGGTACAATAAATATTACGCAGAAGTAGGGTAAAACCACCAGTAACTGGCCACTTAAGCACTTTCACAAAGTCAGACTTTAATTATGTCAAAATAAGTTATTATATTAGATTTATTGCAATGCCACTAAATAATATGCACATTATTTTACATAATTCGGGATTTTAAAAGTAAAACAAAACAATATTTTGTATCAAATTTTAATAAAATCAAAAAACTATCACTTTTGGTAGTTACTGGCCACTAATTTTAGAAACTGGCCGTCATTAAACTATTAATTGGCCACATGAAATAAGCCTCTGTTTCATCCTACTATATACAAAGGAATATAAAAAAAATAAACTTTAAACAAAACAACATTCATTATGTTAGACAATAAATCAAAATTTTACCCGTAATATTAATATGAGATCAAAAATAATACGACATAGGAACTTTCTTAATTCACACGAACAACAAATCAACAAGTTTAAAATTAATATAGTTTTATAGCATAAAGTTTGAACCGAAGCCTTGTTTTCGTGCTTCTTCACAAGCAGAGCTAAACATGGCATCACAATCACCGTCAGATGAGTCAGTATTACTCTCTCGATAGCACATGTGGCACAAAAACTGATCCTCATCTTCCACAGGTACATGGAGTCTGTGATATGACGGAATACAATTTAAATGAAACCGTTTTTTACACTGGTTACATTCAATAACCCTACTTGTAATGAGATTCGAACAAAAATCACAAAAAACTTTTTGTTCATTAACCTCATATGTATTTTCAGTATTTTCTTTGCATATATCTTCTTCAATTATCTTTGTTTTGCTTTTTCCATCACTTTTTTTCTTGATTTTCTTCTTAGGTATACTGTTTTCTTTTTCCTTCTTCTTTTCTTCTCTTAGTCTCTTTCTTTCCTCTTTTGCAGCTTCTTCTTCAATCTTTTTTAACTGTTTTGCTTTTATTCTTTCCACGTATTGGTCTGAAGTTAAAGCAAATGGCAGTCTTTCTATTTGGCGCTTTCCTTGTCGCTTAGGTGATAATGGTAAGTTTTGTTTCAAGTATTCAGTTAGAGATACATTAGAAATTATGGAAACCGTCGAATATGTGACTTGTTTTGACGTGCTAGGCTGCGGAGTGAGACTACGTTCTATTAAATTATTCTGAAGTGTCGGCTCGCTATACACTTCTTTCTTTTCATCTTCTCTTTCTTCGTTTTTATTTATTAACTCACCTGTAAATTCATCAAGAATCGACCTAGGGGTTTCGTCATCTTCTATAATATCAGTCACATAATTGTCTTCTACGATTTTGGTCGGTTTGTCGAAAGGGCCACGGTCCACGTCATTATTAATTCTATAATTATTATTGTTTTCCGATGCAGCCTCAAATCTTTGCCATAAATTGTAAATTGCAAAAAAGTTATCATCTGACTCTAAAATGGAAGAGACTGTTCGACATTTTTCAAGAATTGACTCACCCACAATGTTACAAAATTCTGAATAGGTCAACACATTCATATTATGCTTAACATTTTTTTCTGACGTGGGTGTATCATCGGGTTGGTTTACCCTTGCAATGCACTTGCTAAAATCAACATTATTTGGTTCAAATGGACATAAACCGGTTACTCTGAATCCATTTATTAATGTCTCTTTCTTAGAACACGAGTCTACAACTGTTTTTAAGAGTGGAGCAAAGGTTTCTTTGGTCAGACTATTTTCGTAATTATTCGCAGCGTACCAATCGCGCAGTACCTTCTTCCAAGCTACCTTTATTGGGCGAAAAGCTGCGACATCTGCTGGTTGTAGTATACGAGTTGCGTTTGGACAAAGCGCTATTAGATGTATTTGAAGACGGCGGCATAGTTCTGATATTTCTATGGTTATATGGGTTTTGTGTCCGTCGACAAATAGAATTACTGGTAGTGGGATATTACTTTCTAAAATTTGTGGGTGCAGGCAGTTAGAGATATAATCATAAAAAACTGCTGCAGTCATCCAACCTGTGTCGCTTCGCCCTATTCCCCAACCAGATGGCACACTCAACGAAACTCGGTCAGGTATCCATTTATAAGGATAGATAATCATTGGCCTAAAGACGTGTCCAGCAGCAGAAAACGTAAATAAAACTGTAATATTTTCTTTAGAAGATCCTTTTTCTATCTGGTACACATTTTTGCACCCTTTCTCAGCCAATACTTTGCCTGTTTTCGGGCAAATATTGAATCCAGTTTCATCGGCATTGAATACTCTTATGGGATCTTGAATGACGTCATTTAGTTCTTCCTCGTCAAAATACTGCTTTATTTCCCGAAACCATTTCCTAATATCCTGTTCAGAAACACAAGCGCTTGCATTGGTAACTCCTTCTGATGTTCGAATAGAAATATTAGGATGTCTTTTCAGGAAAGCCTTAAACCACACATCTCCCGGTTTGTTGTCTCGGAAAGGGTTGGGTCTCGGATTTTGTTGCAAAAAAATTCTGGACACATAATTGGATATCCTCTTTCTTTCTTGGGAAGCCACGCTTTGATAGTTGTATGATGAAGTCACATAAACTGTTTTCTTCAGCTTCAGTTAGCACTGGATCTGGTCCAGACTTAAACTTTGTGTCAGGATTTTTAATTTTAAATTGGAGGCTACTTCTGGGCACACCAAATTGTTTTGCCGCCTGTCGAATTGAACCCTCTTTATTCTCAATAAATTTTAGAGCCTTATCTATTGTTTCTTTGCCGTATTGTCGTTTTTTAGACATTTTACTAACACTTCAATGAACTGTAAAATAAATAAGAAAATAGATTAGTAACTGTCCACAAACTTGCCACCTATGCCAGTTTCTGATCAGAGTCGACTAATTCTGCTAAAAAGAAAATACACAATACTACACCTTAAAAACATCATAAATACGAGTTATTGTTAAAGAAATTTGAATAATAGGTAAAACTTTAGTAACTGGCATACGTGGCCAATAACTAAAAACTTCCAAAAAAATTACTTCAGAATCTAGCCACCCTTTCAATAACGGCTTATTTAAGATTTTATTAGAATTAAAATAAAGATTCATATAACTCACCAAGCAAATATGTAGAAATATGCGATTCTTTCACCAACGCCAAGTATTATCACCTATAATTTAAATTTTGTAAAAACTTAGCCACTAACATTTACGTAGTAAAGTAACTTGCATGTCGAGACACGTACACCAACTGTCAGTAAATGGCAGTTTGCTTGGGCGCTAGTATCTGTAGCGAAAAAAGTTGAACTACTACGAAAGGTGAATGACGAGGCATTTTTTTGATACGTTCATTGATGGCGCAAATAAAACATTATTCTTATTTCAAATAGATAAAGTACTAAGTGGCTAGTTATTGGTAGTGGCCAGTTATACCTTGGTTTACCCTATATTTATTTTAAACATAGTTTATATTTTAATATAATTTTTATTTTAAGATGGAAATACTTTCTTATCTGCTGATTTCCATAATATTACGTGCTTGAATAAAAAAAAATAGAAATGCCCTTTCCATATAGTTATTAGTTATTAGGCAATTCATAAAACACACGTTTGTATTGTGTCATAATATAACTAAGAATACATAGTTTTAGCTAATTTTTATTTAATGAGCTAATCCATTAAATAAAATTCAACTTTTTAGTTGGTATTTCGCTATAAACTTATGCTATTTAAGGATTAATTAGGTGTTTTTTTATTTTAGTTTTTTTTTCCAAGAACACTGTTCCACGTGATAGCATTTTGTAAATAGTCAAATAAATTAATTTAGCGCATTAGAAATGTGACAATTACCTATGGCTACTTATAATTAATTTAGGCTATATTAAATAGTGTTTTTTTAAAAAAAATCATATAAATATTTTATTATAGGTTTACCCGACAACACAGATTGAAATCAATACCGATGTTTGCGAGGTATTTATTATGGGTATGTTCCAAAATAGAACCCAGTGTACTGTCCAATGCAAATGACGTCATGAATCGACACCATACTGGTGATTCGTTCCAAAACATAGGACAGTATATGACGTCATACATTGACGCCATATTGGAAAAGTGTTGGCGATTATTTTATTATTTTGTGCTCCAAAGATCATTATATCCTCCTAATGGAGATATCAGCAATTATTCTATAATTTTTTGTATTTGAATAAGTAAAAACAAATTCTGGCATGCTTCATTCAGCGAAAATACAATTAAAAAATTGTTTTAATATGGCCGGATATCCGACACAATATGGCAGCGGCACGTCAGTACAATATAGTGTCAATTTATGACGTCATTTTTATTCGGCAGTATACTGGAAACGTTTCGGAACATACCCTATATTTGGGTGACTAGATTGCACATTTCCCAGTATTCTCCAAAAAAATGCTGCTTCATTGTGAATGATTGTGCTATGGTTAAATCATCTTCATTAATTATATTTAAAGCCTATCAAAAATCCACTAGTGAACATGGGTTTTGCATCATTGGGAAGATACGGTAACGTAGGTACGGTTGGCAGGCGAGTTGGCCACCGTAGTTTTTTTTTTATTGTTACGAGTTGCTATAAGGAAGATACTGCAGCCCTCCTGCTGATTTGATTCCCGCTGTCACTCTTACGTCACTCACGGGATGATAAAGGGTAATGGATACCCTTACGTTGCCACTACGCAGTGGTTTAGTCGAATTTAATACGAATCGAGTTTAATACGAATATTAACACAATAGTTATTTGCAACCTATCGAAAGGCCATTGCTGGCATTAGGTCAATTAATTATTAAACTATTAGGTTTACCCAGCCAGAGACAAAAGTTTTATGGCATTTACAATCAAACTAAAATATGAAGTATATAACAGTTCTAAGAGGAGGATAAAACTCTGGCAAAGGGATAAGATAATTTTATCTCTTGTCAGTGGATATAATCGGGGGATAAATTTTTTGGCTCCTACCCGATGACAGCCCGGCTGGGACTGAGGAAGTAGTTAGTTGAAAAACTAAAATTCTTTATCAGATTTCAATTAAAATAATATAATTAATATTTATGAAATACATACAATAGAGTAGTATATACATACATTTAATAAAGCAATATATAAAGCATCATAGCGATCTCGTTTGTAATGCCTTAAGTAAATAACATGCAGTTACCCGTATTTAACGCAATAATTAACATAGCTCTTGTAAGAAAATACATCACGTATATTACAATAGTTATTTCTGCAGTTTGTTTTGAGTTACATTGTACATTTTAATGATTTTTATCATATGCTTCATAAAATCAATTTTTTAAGCATAGAAATAAATAATAGTTTACTACTCTCATAGAACATATTATAGGTGATTGGAGTATAGGACAAACTTTTGTGAATTATGTGCCTAAAAAAATAGTAAAGTGAACATATTTTAAACCCATGAAGATGTTGTACGAAAAATAAAATTAATTATAATTTCAATTTGTTGTAGTCATAATGTACCTACGTCGACAAAATTTTAATTTTTCCAGTAATGTAATGCGTACAATAAAAAAGTTGTGTCATAGTTCTTCCTCTAAATTCCTTCCATTAATTTTAAACAATTCAGTTTTCATTATTTCTCTTATTCGATTTTTGTTTAAAAAAAAAGGAAGATTATATTACTATATTAAGGTACATATTATGATAATATGATGTTGTATAATACAATCACAGTCATGTAGCTAGAAGCCTGTGTAAAAATGAAACTGTTAAATAATAAACTATTATTAATCACGTTCTTTTTAATTTTACCCGTCCGGTATACCTTAAATGCGTATTGGTAATTCGATGATCTGTAGGATTGAGTCGTGATCGTTACTGTGCTGGCTGTGTGGGGAAGCTCAATGATTTTCAGATAGCTATGGACAAGTCTGTACCCAGGATTTCCATGACGATGTATCCATAATAAGGAACCGACAATGACAAAAAGAGGTTACGTTCGAATTGCGAAAAAAATGTAGTGTACTAACCCGACTTTAAAAGAGACGGGCGAATTTGGGCCTAACGTTACACAAGTGAAATATTTATCAATATTTATTTACAGTTTTTTTGTAGTTAATAATTAAATATTAAACAGTTTTATCATGGCAAAAGAAGTTAAATATTTAATAAAAATAATACTGACTTCCATTATGTTCATTTTTAAACAATGCTGCCAGATGAAATAAATTAGTTAATCGATTTTAATACAAAAATAGAAAAAAAATACGTGTGGCACTCGGTGACTGCCGCGGTAAAGCTATTGCATAGCATTTTTTATCAACTTATGCAATTTTAATTATTTATTTATTTTATTTATGCAGTTAAGTCTTTGATATTAAATCAAGTTACACTTTTTGAGCGTGGTGACCGATAAGACAACAATTTTTTTTCTCTTATTGAATAAATGAGAAGTTAATATTGTTTAAAATATTTTTAATATCTTACAATACGTGTAGGTTATTCAGGAATTTTTATCATTGAGTGAGCAGCTAGCGTACACGCATACGTCTAGTCGCACGCACA